ATTATTGAATTGTATATAGGTGCGAATTCAGATGTGGATAACTTTTTCCAATAGTCGTGTGATATTTCAACCAGGGAATGATGCAAGTTTAGTACCGCATACACCATACTCGCCAACATCGACTTATCCTTGCCACGAGTCTCAGCCGTTAACACGGGATAAATAAAACGATCAAAAAGATTCTGGAAAGTCTTCTCGATTTCACCCTTAAAGGTTTGCGTGATTTTTAATGCACGTAAAAACCGTACGATAAAGATCATCAGAGGCTCCATCATGTGTGTGATAGTCGAGGAATTATTATAGCTATCGCCAGACAATTTCCTTCTCTTGTTTGGCACCGATGACTCATCAGAATTTGAAAGAAAGATGGGCAAATATTTTTCACATAATTCTTTAGAAATGAAGGCAATGATTTCATAAGCTTGCATCATCGAAACATTGCTAGATACTTTATTCGAGAATCTGCAAGATGAGCAAAATAAAATAAGAGATTGATTAAATTCAAATTGAAAACGAAGGGCAACTCACTCATCCAAGAATTCCCTTGAGAACAAAGGATTCCTTAACACGTGTTCGGCTTCAATCTCCGTATCCTTGAGTGCCAAACAAAAACTGTCGATGAAATGATGCATCTCGTGAGACTTGGAAAAGATTTCCAGAATCCTTTTGGCCAAAGACAAGGATTCCTCCGTCGCCTCGATGTTATCCTTTTCGTGAAAACTCGATAAATTAAAAAAATCCTATCAATAACGTGCCCCTTTCTCAAGATTGTACCTTTAATATGAAATCCCATATGGAGGTGACGTGGGGCTTTACCAAGTCGTGTTCAATTTGCAACAATATTTCAAGTGACCTTGAAATATCGGCTCTAACTTTACCTAAGGAAGTAAAAATTCCAACCCATCAACATGTTGACCCCTCCCAAAAAAAATCTTTACCAAAAAAAACTTGCCTTTCATTTTGGTTGCTTGTAAAATTAAAAATTCCACAGCTTTTTTAAGACATTCCCTTTGTCGGACAGATATGTCATCATTTTTCGCTTGATAAACGTTGAAAGATAAAAGCTCGGATAATAAATCGGCAAGCGTGGAAAAGAGAATCTTTGAATCAGAAGCTTTCATTGAATTTGAAATCGGTTGAATAATTATATTCCAGAGATCCCAGAAGAAATTAAATTCCAACGTTCGACTTTTATCCTGGGAAATTTTAGGGTATCCTGGAAATGTATGGCCTTTCCCGGATTCGCGGCGTGACTCTTCGATAAAATAGCCAAACCATAGGGGAATAATCTCCATCACTGAACGTGAGACATAATTCATCTATGATAAATGAATTAATTCTAATAATACTTACGAAAAAGAAAAAAGAAAAAGAAAGAACACATCTAAATATACCGATCAATTTCTGTCCACCACCTCCTCCCGAAACTTCTTCGGTAAGCTTGTCAAACAACTGGTCGTGATAATTTTTAACGACCTTACTCTCGTGCTCCTTCTCTTGTGCAGACTTTGAAGGCAACGCATATTCAGAAACGTGATCTTGATGAAAGAGGCCACGTCGAAAGATACCGTCAATCATCTGAAGAATCCTAATAGATGCGTCGCGGACATTTTCTTCGTTTGAAGCAGTCGATCCAAGTTTCGAAATAAAGGAGCGTGTACGGAGTAAGGTGCCAAAGAATTTCCCGATCAATAAATTATAGGCCTAAACGTCGCGTAAAACAAAGTCATGAATTGTTTTATGATAATCTTAGCAAACATGCATCGATAGTCTCACCCTCTTTGGATTGGATAAGGCGATTATTTCACTATTTAAAAATGAAACAACTTTCGCGAATAACTCGAGACGCAAAATTTCTGCGTCTCGAATTTCAGCGGAATTCGTAATAAATTCGCAAGCGCTCAGAACCAACGTCGATGTTTGTTCGAGTGAGGGTTTAAACCGATTTTTTTCCTCGACGATAAGATGGTGAAAACATGTATCAACCGTTCTTAATAATTTGATTATCTCGTGATCGTCCTTGTCTCCGCGAAGTGAGGATAGGTGAGTCATCACGCTCGAGAATATGTAGACCAATGGTAACTTGTAAATGGTCGAAGCACTCCCAAACGAATGCTGCTGATATTCGTTCTTTCTTAAAATACAAGGCATTGAATTATCACGAGTTTTTTCCAATGCTTCTTTGAACAATTCCCAATACTTTATGTTCAGATAGGGCGTCTCACCAAATCTATGTTTTGATAATTAATTGGTGCGTTCCGTGATTCAGGCATAAAACATTCTAGAGGCATACCGTGAGTCGGGAAACTTGGTCGAATGAACCAATGTCGAACAAACCCATTCCGAAATGAAGCCCGCCTTGTTCAAAAAGCATATCTCGGGTGAACTCCATACGTAAGCGGCGAAATTTATTTTTTCAGTGAATGAGATTTTAGAGTCTTTTAATTTTCGGAAAATTACTTCGGATGAGGCGGAAGAAATAGGAATTTCCGAATCCATGGTAACAGACGGATATCCTCGAAAACACCGTAACGTTCGCCCTTTTTTTATTGCGATCGATCGCCAAATCGAATTTACGCATTGTTTATCATAGGATCGACATTGCCATCACGAGATATCAAATTTTATAACAAAATTTTATGCACATTGGAAAACAGAATAATTGTAGAAGAATTCTTTTTTTTAAACATTAATTATGCCGTCATCCAAATTTATTCCAAATAATTTTAATTGTTTCATTCTATCCTTTATTTCCTGTTCATCACTATTAATAAAGCATTCTGGAAACATGATCAATTTCGTGCCTCCACCAAAATTCTTTGACGTGTACATCAGATAATCCTTAACAACTTCTTTCCTTGCACTCTTGACCACTGCCTTCGATATCTCAAGTCTTTTGTGATAATTTATATCCTCGTCCTTTCCCTCGTCTATTTGTTCCAAGAAAACAAACCCATTCAGATGATGAATGACCATCCAATATAAAAATGGTGTCTTCTCGCGTGTAACCTTGTCGTGAAGAATGGCATTCACGAACGATTGTAATACTGCTGTGCTTGATTCCAAAGGCCAAAAATATGAGACCAACGTTGAATTGATACATAAGACGTCCCAATGATCAATGCTGATCGTGCCCAAAACGTCGTGCAGATCACTCCAAACCAATAGCTTGAAATCGGTCGGATAGATAGATGATAATGGTAATATAATCAGCTGGGCAAATAATTTATTGCCAGATGATTCGGCGGCGTAAACACCCGTAAAATCGGAGAAAAATTGATAAAATGGTATCTTGAGGACCTCTTCGGTAGCTTTTTCCATTGAAAGATTTTCAGGAAACCCACTGGGACCAACCATTGATGTGAAGTCGTCGGCGACTGATTGACGAAAAGAGAATTTCGCAAAAAACTTCTCGATCCACAACTTAATTCTAGGAACATCATAAAGTTCACCACTCATCATGAAAACTTTCATTATGGACACCATTAATATGGCGGGATCCACGACGTACTTTGAAAACATTGGGTTCTTGAATCCATCGCATATTTTCATCACCTCCCAAACCAACACCAAGCAATTACGAACTACTTCGATCCGAACCTCCTCATCCATCACCAAATTCGGATTCTTAATATATAATGCATCTATAGGTGCCCATATCCATCCTCTTGACAAGGGCAGACCACCACGATCACCGGTATAGTTCCACATTAAAGTCTTATCACCTTGCTGGTATGCGTCTCCTTGGTTGTCAATAACGAAAATTGGTTTGATCAGATCGTTGTAAAATGATCCCAGTGACTCTTTGATTTCCTCTGCCCACGCAACATCCGAGGTACTTAAGCATATTTCCTCAAGTATGTATTCGAGCATCTCCGAAGCAATTGACTCATCACCAGGTGGTATATTGCACATAGAGGTAAAGGCCGCCTGTAAAACCTTCGTCGAATAATAAACTTTCATTTCGCCCGTGATAACATCACGAATCAACATTTTGAATATACATATCCATTCATTCAATAAATACGATCGTGTTCTGTCAAAGAAAGCGACCCATTCTGCTTTCGTCGGACTCCTCAAAATACATAATTGTAATGTTTCCACTGAAAAACTTGATCCAACCACATCCAACGCCTTTTCCAGGAATGCCTTTTGCGGGAATAGTTCGCAAATTTGACGAATCAATGAGATGAACGACAAAAATGTGTCGAAAATTACAGAAGAGGAAAATGATCTCGATAAATGTTTTAGTGTTGAGGAGTGGTAAGCTCCTGGTAAATTTGATATTTGCCAAATATTACTGTACAACTCCTGCGTAGTGAGGTTGACCATTTGACTTCGCAGAAAGTAGCATAGAGTCGAATCATGCCAACGTTCCATATTTAATTCTTCCCAAATCCTCAGAATTTCGCCTGTGTCCTTCAGAGAATGTTCTCTTAGATGTCGGCACCAAGAAGAAACATATCTAGCAATACTTGACATCAAATTCAAGGCCAGCTCATAATCCACCGGAATCTCCTCACCACCCTGTGGCACGAGAGCGGTGGGAAATGAGGGTATCCATCTGGCCATAAGGTCAACTGAATCTTTAATAAACTCACTTGGTTGTGCATCGGATTTTTGATTGCCGCCGGCTCTCGTATTTTGAACTCGCGTCCATGTTTCCAATAGCCTAAAGAATAATATCGCGATTGAAAGTTTTTGCTGCTTATGATAGATTTCGGAATCATCCCATTCCCAAGGTGGAGTAAGCGAATACAATATTTCCCTAATAAAGTACTCATTTAGGACGGAGTAAGCCCGCGAAAATATCTCCCGATATAATCCGTAAGCAGCGAGAGTCTGATAGATACGCAGAGTCTCCTTAAGGAATTCATAACCAATAATCATCTCTGATTCGTCCGACAAAGAAGCTGGATTAACCAAGACATATCTAAGGAACGAGTCCGCATATTTTTCCATAATCTCGATACTCATATTCCTTGAAGACTGACACAGCACACGAATTAGCTTTGCTGCTGCCAAACTAGGAAACTTGGATTGTACGGCCTCATCGCTCGTGTGCAATATTGGCCAAGGCAAAGAAATGAACTTCTCATGTACTACTTCCAATAGCCGAGGAGAATGGAGTATCAACCTGGCAGATTTATGCGAATGACGCGAAAAGCGAATGAGCATAAGTAGGATCTGTTCGTTGGTGATTTTCGGCAGGTGAAATTCCTCCAATAGATAACGGAATCTATTAGTCGTGTCCATAGAAATAAGTCCTGCGATTAGATCCTTTGACGCAAGTTTAACGTGACTTTCCGTTGTGCTCATAGGTTCATTGTCATTATTATCAGTCTCCGAAATGTCCATCCCGAAGTGTCTTTTTGAAGAAACAGCACTCCGCCTCAAAGCCACCGTTTCGTATCCACGATACAATCGAAATGAATCCTCCCAAAGCTTTTCTTCCTCGTGTGATCCAATGGTCAATGCAGCGATCGCATCCACGGCGGCAACGACCACTGGTTCAAAAGAATCATCCAGAGCGGATCTTAAATAAACCGGCAGTTTCATTTTCATCGCCCAATTCGCAACCTCATCACTGTTTTCCTCGCCATACACTCTCTGTCGAACCTTCTTCATAATGCGCCCAATTACATTCAGAGGAATTATTCGTTGACTAGGAACCGTGCTTCGTGTTAAATGAAGTAGTTCACTAATTGTATATCCAGCTTGATCCGGATCGTCTCCGTGATGATGGAGACCTAAGTAAGATGGAACATCAGCATCTTTATCCACGATATTTCCACTGAAATCGAACCTAAAAGACGCTACCAGTGGGTCTAAAGGACCGGCAGCATATGGACTTGTGCCCGTGCTAACTGTAAACGAAGATGATTTAGTCGTCTCTTTATTATATTTGACTCCCATCCATTCCATCTTTTCTGGCTCGAAAGGAACATCAGGAAAGTACTTTTCCTTCATCCTGATGAGCATGGAATTATCATCATCGCATTCCATATCTTCGGCATCTTTGAATTGTACACGTATGTCTTTATCATTTTTTTCGGCAGCTGACCCTTCCTTCACTCTTTCCACCAGAGGTCTAGCCTTCATCAGCTTTTCCACAAATCCTGGGCTCAAAGACTTTCGCAACATCTCTACGGTCTCTTGAATCTCGACCTCAGACATGCTAGCGATTTTGCGGTTATTTTCTTGATCGATGTCCCAATAATCGCTTTCAAATATTCTTGTGTCTTTATTTAGTTGACTCGATGCTGACAACTTATGGGTATATACTTCTGATTCAACTTCATTGCTACTTCCGGTGATGTCGACATTTTCTTTTTGCTCTTGATCTTTCCTTCGCCTGAACAGACTTCTGTGAACTGGTTTCGGAAACCCTTCATTTGGCGCAATAGCATCAGAAATCTTTGGCGCTAATACCGGTTCATTGATTGATTTCTCGGTCACTGCACCTACTATCCCTGTTTGATATGAATGCATATCCAATACTTTTTTGATCGCTGGCACATGAGTTCTGTCATTATTCATATTTTCGAGGTCTACTTCAAACCTTTGCCCGCGTACACCGTCAAACGCATTTTGATGTCCCTGTGTGAAAATCGAATCATCTTTCTCCTCTTTTTCGTTGCCCGTTTTTGAAGCCGCATTGAAATCTGTATCAAAATTGACGATATCTTTTTTTTCTTAATCACGTTAAAGAACATTTTATTTACTGGTTGTTCCTCTAATTTTCAGGAGTATCGGAGGAACG